TCAGACATCTGTCACTGTGTTTTCACAGAGTAAAACACGCAACACAAAAGCTGCAGCAGCATTTTTAATAAAAGCCAAACAATTTCAACTCTATTGCTGGCTTGTTGCAGAATATAGTAAGGTAATACAACCTCACCAGCAGATGAAAATCTAAGTTAAGATGTCCTTTGCTATCAGCTAGGTGTTAGTATCAAATCTGAAGTTACAAGACACACAAACTTCAATGCTTTTAACCTGCTATACCTTCAGCTAAAACTTCCTGTTCAACATCAGGACAGCATCTTGCTGACCACCCACCACTGACCTTGAAAACAGAATCATTCTTCCACTTTCATATTGACCTGCACAGAACTGTCTTCTCTACACCATGTAAACCCTGTCCTAAAGAGATATCCTAGACCCACATCTCACAAGCCTCGAACACACACTTCCACTCTGTAGATATGTGTGACAGACTCACCTGAGTGTCACTGAACTCACCTCAGTCACTTCAAAGTCCAGATGACAATCAGTTTGTAGTAATGACCATTAATAAAGTACTCCTGACAATGCTTTCCTGATGCTTCCCTGCCTTCCCTTCCCTGCTCATCTATCATTGATAAGTTTTCTCCTACAGCTCCAACCATCTGGAGAAGCCCAAAAGAAATTGATTGACTAAGGACAGGAAATGCTGCAGCTTAATGGGAGGGCGGGTAACAAAAACCCAAACCTCAAGAAAGCAACAATCAGTCCTTGTCCATCATACAAATAAGTAACTGTGAAGAAGAAGAGTAGAAATATTCAATGAGGCATCATTTGACTTGAATACACTAAAACGATTTCCATTACACATTAGAGACATGGAAATTTCACTGCAAAAGGGAAGCTGGTAATTTTGCTTGACAAAGGATTTTCATAGAAGTGTTCAAAGGTCAGCACACACGTGCTTGCCTGCCAGAGTAGTGTCCTATTTTGGAAGATGTAGACTAAGGAAAAGTTACTTCTGTAAAATCAACAAATGGTTTCAACTCTCAGATACAGTGCTATCTTGTGAGCAACTTCCTGCCAAATGCTGATATCATCCTGGATTAAAAAAATAAATACGACAAATTTTGTTTCTGTCAGCAAGCCTTTGTACTAAATCAGAAATGCTATCAGCTACAAAGATTCAACTTTACACTCATAGAAACCAGCTGATACAAAAAAAGCTGAAAGGAATGCAAAAAATAAATCTTATTATTTCAAATTATAAACCAAATCCAGTTTTACCAGACACCACTACTTGAACAGCAAGTTCAGATACTTAGAAACTGCTAAATTAATGCTTCTGATTCTTGTGTATCGCACTGAAACTACTAGCAAAACGCTCATGAGATATTCCAAGATAAGTTTTGCTTTAGGAGTTGCTAAGTATGAAAATGAGCTGACTCAACTGCATTTTACTTTCCATGTAATGTGCAAAAGCAGAAGTTTCCACCCAGAAAGCAAACTAAACAACACAACCTTACATAACACACTCCCATTGTAAAAAAAAAGTTTTATCCCATGTTCACAGTGAAAAGCTGATCCTCACTAGGGACCACAGCAGCATTATGCCTCGCCAGCACTTTCAGAAATTCTGACAGAGCTACAGAGCCCTGTAGAAAAAATTAAAAGCTGCTGAAGGACAAGGACCTGTCGTGTCTAAAGTTGCTTAAGGCCAATCTGTGCTTTTACAGAGTCAAAATGCATCGCTTTGAATAATCCAAAGGTCACTGGTTCACTTCTCATAATGGGCAGCAAAGTCTGCTGAAGGTATTAGTTATGCCAGGTAGTGAAGACAAAGACATGAAGGCTCTTGTACCAACAGTCACTCAAAAAAAGAACAAAAAAAGTCTGACGAATTATAAATACATATGCATTGCGCTTTTATCACACTTCTTATGCAACTGCTGGCCATGGGGCACCAGGCTGGAAGTCCCTGATGTCTGAACCAGTCCAACGTTGATTATGATTATGAGCATGACCAAAGTCTCAAGGAGAAAAGTCAAAGGAGCATTTCCTGACCTCCAAGCAATCTACACGGATGCTGTAGCCTTACAGGCACATTTTGCATGACAGCAAAACAGAAGGGGTCTGTGAAGTATAATACACCTCGAATACACCACGCACAATGACAAAGTAACTACAATTCATTACAATTCATGTGATTTCTACAATATGAGCACTGAGGAGAAGTAAAGCAATTAGTCTATATAAAGTAGTATTTCCATATCTCCCTCCTAACTTTAGTTTTTTCCTTTTGGAAAGTGTTTCCATTGTTTTGGTAACTGGAGTGCTGTAGTTTAACCCTGGTTAAACTACAGAAGAACAATAGGAGTGGGAAATTATAAGGAAGTTATCTGGTACTTGGATATGATGTGGGCCCTTTCATTAGGGCAACAGAGAGTGCTTTAACTTCTGGACCTAAAATCTAAGAAGAAAGTTTAAACTGGCAAAAATTTAACCCAATCATAGTTAAAAAAAAAAAAATCTGAATGACTCATCTCACAAAGAGCATGTAAGTACATAAGACTAAACAATAAAATTTGATGTCAACACATCTCAAACATACGCCTTCTTAGACTTCTACAGTAAAACCAAGTCTGATCTTGTTAGGAGAGACACACCAGAGGAGAACTGAGGGCACATAATATCACAAATCACTGTTAACTGAACACACATCATAAGCACCATCCTACTGCAGGATCCACTTCATGGAGAACACACAAACCAAACAGCCTGGCAGCTCATACTCCAGGAAAACTCTGTATTTAATGAGAAATGCTCATCTGGGCACCTTAAACTTGAACTGGCAGGGCAGCCTGTTTGGGAGAAGCACAGCATCCCTGTGCCTCCCTCCACAGCACGGTTAACTATGACTTATCAGTCACGGAAAAAAAGCAGAATTGTTAAAAATGGAATTCCCCCAAGCTCATCAGATAGACCAGATATGACTGTAAAATCAACTAGCACTGAGAAGAGAGAAAGGGCACAGGAGCACATCTTCAAGAACAGATTACAGCCACATGACAGAGCTACAAGTAACACACGCAATCCACGACAAAGACTGAAACAACTCCAAGTATTTTTATTCAAGCATAGGTCAGCACTTTTATGAACAGTTTCACTATTTCCTGCATTGTCAACTTTCCTGCTTGGAGGTTCTTTGCTAAAAAATAAAAGGGGACTAGAGCTATAAGAAGGAATACGTAACTGTGAAATCACAACTATTACCTATAGAATTAAAAGTACACCTCAGTTATTAATAAGTTTCTTCAAGATGACTTGTTTTGAAAACACGGCACTTGCACAAACAAATATAAAGGAAGGAAATGAGAGCAAATCCTATATTTACTGAATAAGGTAAGAAAAAACAACAGCATATTCACAGTCCTGAAGACTTCAAAGTGAATCAGTGAGGGGAAAAAAAAAATCTATCAAGGGGCTGAGCAGTTCAAGAAACATCAAGAAAATGGTTGGAAGACAGACACACCCATTTATGTTAGCTATCTCTTCAGAAGTATAAAGAAGCAGCACAGTACCAAAGCAGGCTTTTTCTTTTTTTTTAATGATACAGCATTTATGAATGTTTATTAAGCCTTTTATCTACCACAGGTACAGAATAATAAATGTTAAGGTAAAATGCTACTCAGGCCTTAATCGGCTGGTGTTACTGATACAGCATTTTGAAAATGGTTGCAGAGAGAAATGTGCCAGAAAAATGCAGAAAAACTGTTCTTAAAGCATTAGAAATCACGCCACACCTAATTTAGTCAATCACATGTGCCTAAATAAAGATTGTTTCTTCCTTGTGCGCCAAACTCAGCAAAATAAAATGTCTGAAAAGGACAGGGCATTAGGGTAACATAAAACAAGTTACGCACTATTTCACCTTATCTTTAAAGCAATTTCTTTTCAAGAGAGTCTACTTATTCTCTTAGTGTTATTTTTTTAAGTCAGCATTAGTTTAGCCCTCCTAAATACTAGTAACCTCCACTGCACTTTTCCCCTTCATCCCCAAAACTGTGTACTTCACTTTAAAAGTGACCTCAGCTACAAGTAGCTGAACATAAATCTCAAGTCATGCCGCACTATAGTTTCAATTCAATTCTATCTCAGTGAAGGCCTTGAAAATTTTGCTTATGTTTATTTCAGCAGTGTATTTTAAAACTGACAAGTCTGACAAAAATATAAGTCACAACCACCTGTTTTGATATATCACACTTCACTGTCATTAAAAAAGGTTAGTGAAGCTTAGAAACGAACCCTTTTTCACAACCAAATTCAGGACAAAACTCAACATTTGTCGAGGAGCTCGAATGCAACTACTCCAAATCTCAAAACCGTGAGTACACAGACGCATTAGAAGCGTGCAGGGAAGAACTGAGAGTCGAACCACCTGCCCCGAGCGTTCAGTCACTGCCACCGTGCAGCTCGGCACGAGCCACAGGCAGCCCCAGCAACCCTTCACCACTTTCTGAACATCCGCACCCCAACACGAGTCGCCCCACACCGGGAGAGCCCCAGAAGCGGCGGTTCTGCCTGAGGCCAGCAGCGCTGCGGGATCGGCGCGGGGATCCGACCGCCCCGGGAAGGGGCCGCGGGCTCCCCTCGCCCCGGGAAGGGGCCGCGGGCTCCCCTCGCCCCGGGAAGGGGCCGCGGGCTCCGCGCGCGGCACCACAGCGGCGGCAGCACGGCCCGGCCCGGCCCAACTGTTGCTGCGGCGGGCACGGCAGGCGCCGGGGCCGCTGCAGGAGCGGATCGCACCCTGCGGGCCCCGCCAGGGCCGCGGCACCTTCCTCCGCCGGACAATCCCTCCCGAGCGCTGCCGCGCTGGGCTATCGCTGCCCCCGGCCCCCGGTCCCGTACGGGGCCCGGCACGGCCCGACCGCGGCCCCGACACGGGCGGTGCCCCCGGCCCTTCCCTCCCTCCCTCCGCGCTCGGCCCGGGCAGGACCCCTCTCCCGCCGGGATGGCGGCGCCCGGCCGCGGCCCCTCACCGATGGTGGAGATGAAGGTGGTGTTGAAGGCGTCCTCGCTGAAGCGGAAGAGCAGGCAGGTCTTGCCCACGCCCGAGTCCCCGATCAGCAGCAGCTTGAACAGATAGTCGTAAGTCTTCGCCATCTTCGCCTGGGCTCGGCTCGCCGCCGCAGCAGGAGGGGGCGAACGCGGGACGGAAGGAGGGCGGGACTCCGGCGGGAGGGCCGGGAGGGAAGGAGGGGAAGGAGGGGAAGGAAGGGAGATCTGGCCGGCGGAGGGAGGCGGCGCTGCGGGCGCGTCACGGCGCCGGAACCGCCGGGCCCGACGGGGGCTGTGGTCCGCAGGCTGTGGTCCGCGGTCCGCAGGCCCGGCGCTCACCCACCGGGATCGGGGCGCTGCTGTCGCTGCGCGGTCCCCCCGGGCTCACTTCTCTCTCGAACCTAGCAGGAGTTGTCAGCAGAGTCAGGTAGCTCTGTGTTCAAGTTAAATAACGGCAAAATACTCTCACGTCACCACTGAGTGAGTCTAGTGTGCCGCCTCAGAAGTTTACATGTTGCCCTGGGCGCGTCAACTCAGGAAGAAACTTGTGCGCACAACACAAAAATTATTTTCATGTTGTCTCACTGCAAACGGGGGTATTCTACAAGAGATCTGCTCTAGAGCAATTGAAACGCTTTCCCCCATCTTTTTTCCGCTAATAATCTCTTGGTGTGAGGCAGCCTCATTATGCATTCATTATAGCGTGTTCCCCACAGGATGTCACAAGGCGCTATAAAAATAAATAGCACTACTGAAACACTTCAAAATGACAACAAGGACTTACTGCTTTAATTTAATCTAAAAATTGTAGCCTTCAGACAAGCTATAAACAGAACTCTCTAACACTATAAATCACTAGAACAGTTCTCAGTTCCCTCTTAGCAAAAATAGGAAAAAGATTTCCCCAAATCATTCATTAAAGTTTCTGTTGGTTGTAACCCAGCCTACTTGTAAATGGTCCTTTCTCACTTTTGGGGTTTTTTGTTTTGGTTTGGTTTTTTTTCTTATATGTGTGTTAACTTCACAAATATTTATACTGAATTCTATAGAGAATCAAACAAAATTAGTTTTGAATATTAAAGCTCTCTCATACATGGTTAGCCTCCTGCAAGCACACAAAAAAATCACCTCATGCTATTAAACAACAATTTGATGGCGTGAAATAGGACCAAGCCAGTCTAGTGCCTGGCTACTGCTGTATTTGTGCACTGAGGAATTACTCCAAACAAATACCTTCAGCCATTATAATCTTTGAAAAAGCAAAAGGTATCCTGCTCCTAGTTATAAATTATCCACATTTTCTGCCTTAAGGGTCTCAGTTTGGTGGTAGCCCCAACCAATATGTTTGTGGTACCAAATAATGGAAAATCCATTGACAGATGTGATTTAAAACTTTGTACAAGGTGAATTCAGTAGGAGCTTGTCATGAATGCTAATCTAATTTCCAGTTAATTTGTTCAAAATCTAATTTTATATCTGTACATTTATGTGCTTCATCATAATTCAAGTGAAAAAAAAATCTTATTTATAATAATTGTTTTATTGAGACCTCTGGAAGACCAGGATATTGTCTGATAGAGGAGAATGAAAGCTGCAAATCAAGGATGGGGGGAATTGCCTTTTTTTTTTTTTAATTTTTTTTTAACACACCTGAGGATCTCTGCCTAGTTCAGGCCAGAATTTGGAAACATGGCTGCTTGGATCATTTTTGTACTGTATAATTACCAGTCAGGCTGTTTAAATGTTAAAATGAGTTGTCACACTACTTATTACAATAATTGAGTTTATAAATTATAATGGCAACCTGGCACCGAAGCAGTCAGACCAAATTGGTTAATTACTTCAGTCTAACATGAATAATTGGATTATAGGAAACTGCAAATGAAAATGTCTCAGAAATATTTTCCTGTAGCTGTACTTTCAGAGAAATGAGTTGCTGTGTACTGTAATTATGGCCATGCTGAAGATGACTACACAAACACCTTTCAGCACTGAAGAGAGAATTTTGGGGTTAATATTCACTCTTGAGTTTTATGGAACACGTAGGCTTTCATATGTCTCTGGAGCAGTATGTTTGTGATCGCCATCTGTTACTCAAGAGTATTTTTATAGAAGAATAATGCAAATTACTTCCCTCTTCAATTACACTGGTGCTTTGTGATGGTGCGTTCTGTTCTGATTTGGAAAAGTGCCAGTTTGCCACATTCAAGGGACAGATGTTTATTTAACCATGAACTTTAAAAACAAGATATAAAAATTAAGTTGCATTTTTTTATTTTCTAGAATATGAAAAAACCCATAATTGTTCAATTGTATACCTTGCAATATGTTATAAAACTTTGAGGAGTACTATCAAAGCTGTTAAGGTTCAATAGCCACACCTCTATGATACCTGTTCCATGAAAACATGTCTTTGGAACCCAGTCTTTGTTATTGCACCAAATTGGAAAAGTTGACATTTGGTTTATAGTGCATTGCAGGCAAATAGATCAACAATTCTTTTCTCTTCTGGCATGGGAGAACCTCTGAGGGGAACACTGAACATGTAGGAAATAGAAGAGATTTGAAACTATGGTTTACATTTTGTCACTATGTGAAAGCAGATGGGACTGTATCAGTTTGATTCTGTTTTGTACATTTCAAAAAAAGCAGAATTAAAAAACCCTTTACAATCCCTAAATTACTACCCTACCATTTTGCCTGAATAGAGTCACAGAATCACTAAGGTTTGAAAAGAGCTCTGAGATCGAGTCCAACCCTAGACCAAATACCACCTTGTCAACCAAGCCAGAGCACAAAGTGCCATCTCCAGTCCTTTTCTGAACACTTCCAGGGATAACAACTCTGTCACCTCCCTGGGCAGCCCTTTCCAATGCCTAATCACTGTTTCTATGAAGAAATTCTTCCCAATGTCCAACCTAAATCTGCTCTGGAGCAGATTGAGGCCATGTCCTCATCCTATCACTTGTTCCCTGGGAGAAGAAGCTGATTCCCACCCTACTACACCCCCATTTCAGTAGCTGTAGAAAGTGATAAGGTCACCCCTGAGCCTCCTTTTCTCCGGGCTAAACACCCCCAGCTCCCTCACCTGTTCCTCATCAGACCTGTGCTCCAGACCCTTCTCAGCTCTGTTGTCCTGCTTTGGACTCACTCCAGCACTTCAATGTCCCTCCTGAACTGAGGAGCCCACTGGATGTGCCCCCCAGCACATGACCATGGTCACTGTGTCCTGGAGGACACAGCATTGCTGGCACAGCCCAGGTGCCCTTGGCCTTTTTGCACACCTGGGCTCGTGTTGAGGCCCTGTCACCAGGCTCTGCCAGGTTCTTTTCTGCTGGGCAGCTTTCCAGCCCCTCTGCCCCAGCCTGTAGTGCTGCAGGGGGTTGTTGTGACCTGGGGACAGACTCCAGCTCTTGGCCTTGTTGAACCTCACACAGCTGGCCTTGGCACCCAGATCCAGCCTGTCCTGTTCCCTCTGCAGAGCCTTTTTGCCCTCCAGCAGATCAACACTCCCAATGCAACTTCGTGTCGTCCATGAACTTCCTAAGGGTGCTCTCAATGCTCTCATCCAGATCATCAATAAAGACCTCAAAAAGGACGGGGCCCAGTACTCATCCCTGGGAAACACCACTAGTGACTGGTCCCAGCTGGACGTGGCACCAATCACCACCGTGCTCCGGGCCCAGATGTGCAGACAGTTTTTAGCCCAGCAAAGAGTGCAGCTGTCCAAGCCATGGGCTGCCTGTTCTCCAGGACACTGCTGTGGGAGGCAGTGCCAAAGGCTTACTGAAGTCCAGGCAGACTGCACAGCCTTTCCCTCACCCACTAGGCAGGTCATCTGGTCATAAAAGGAGATCAGTACCATAGTTCAAACTCATCCAATAAACAGGTGAGTCCTAATCAAGGTATGGCAGAATTCCATTAGTCACTGAGGTGTAGGTAAAGTGCATCTGTTAAAGCCCTCAGTTCAAGAAAGGAACTAATAGGAACAGCAAAGTGTAGTGATGACCTCTACTCATATGCACTAAGTTCAAAAATCTTTACATATACATTTAAAAAGCCAGACAACACTTGTTTACCAACATCTACATTTTAAAGAAAAAAAACAGATTATATTAGAACTTTGTTCCCACTCTCATTTTTAATTTCTCAAATGATAGACATAATTACTTCTAGCTTTCAAAGATCCTTTTTCCTCCTTTAGTTCAAAGGTTAGGTAAAAAGACAACTGAGTGAAAATCTGTTTTCAATGAAGCCCTTCTCAATACACACAAAACAGTAGAAAATTCTGCATCTTAATTGCCTAAGTACAAGGTTTAAAAAACCAACAGAGTTTAAAACATGTTGGTAGAACTAAGATCCTGTTATTTTGGTACTAATTGGAATCAGCAAGTCCAAGTCCTACCAACAATAATCTTATGAGGCAGTCCTGCCCTGAATGCCACCTAACCACAAGTCATTAACATGAGCTTTGCTCCATAGCTGTTGAACTCTGCTACCCAATATAATAACATTTTCGATGTGTATCTCTAACAACTCTGACTTTGGCAGGTGCCTCTGGAATTCATTACTGTAGATAACCATCATGTGGACACTCCTTTAAAAAAAAGTCACTTATTACCTGTTTCCAGTAAATAAGTCTTTCATTTATTTCACTAGAAGGCAGACACTTCTATGTTCATTCTACACTTTGTCTTACTGCATTTGATAGGTTGATATGTCCTGCTTTTAACTCTTAAGATCAATGCATTGGTTTAATGTACAAAGAACAGTACTCTCCTTTACTGTAGTGATCCAAATGTATGAATTTTCCATGTGTATATACTGCAGAACTTTATACAGCTATGTCCTGCTTTTAACTCTTAGTTTTAAGATCAATGCATTGGTTTAACGTACAAAGAACAGTACTCTCCTTTACTGTAGTGATCCAAATGTATGAATTTTCCATGTGTATATACTGCAGAACTTTATATAGAAGAGGTTAAATTAAGTTATTATTGGGGAAAAAATTACACAAAGTATATACAGTTCAATTCCAGAAGAAAAAAACACTGCAAAATTCTTATCTGTAAATCCATTAATTTCAAAGTTTGCTATTACAGTAGTGCTAAAAGTTTACTTTCTTCAATTTCCACTGCTAATCTAAAATATCTGAGCACAAGCATATTTAAACCAAATTATTACATGCCACAGTTTACACCATTAGTTTACAATGAATTAAAACT